TGTTGGGTTGTTGGAGGAGAGGGTTGTTGGGTTGTTGGGTTGTTGGAGGAGAGGGATGTTGGGTTGTTGGAGGAGAGGGTTGTTGGGTTGTTGGAGGAGAGGGATGCTGGGTTGTTGGAGGAGAGGGATGTTGGGTTGTTGGAGGAGAGGTTGTTGGGTTGTTGGAGGAGAGGGTTGTTGGGTTGTTGGAGGAGAGGGACGGAAGGTAAGAGATGACGTGACTGCCCAATTGGAAGAGTCCTCGCAGCAGGGAACCAACCGTGTCGAAAGGGGATGGAGCTAAGAGTGTTCTATAAAGTTGTCTGTTTAGTGGTAACTCTGAGAATAAAAATAACAGTCCCCCCCACTTGCCAGAGGGAGTGGACCGAGAGGGCAAGTCCTGTCCAAAGACACCATGCCCCCACACGCACATCATCCGGTGCCCACTCCATCTCTCCTCTGACCTTTAAAGCAAGGCTTCTACCAGTTCATTCTAGTCTGACCCCTGCTGAGAATACACCTCCCAGCCTTAAGTCTCCCGAGGAACAATCCAGAATCCGGAGAAGGAGGTCTCCGGGAGATTCGCCTCAGAAGGCACTAGGGAGGCAAAACCGGCAGTGTCCCTTTTCCAAGTTGGTGAGCTTGGTGTGCCAACGGCAGCCCGGTGACCTACAAGGGAAACATCACAGGTGGGTGGGAGCTAAGGGCAGGTGGACCTCAAGCTCTAGTGAGTTTTTTTCTCACCCACACAATGTGTAATTCCACAAGGGGCCGTTCTGCAAAAGATGGTGCCCGGTCCCCGTGTGGGGGTGGGGGGGTGGGAGGGTGGGTTTAGAGGGTGCAGAGCCCTTGAGGGTTGGGGTTGGCGCATGCTCCATCAAACCAGTGCGTTTCTCCGAGGCTCTGGAGCCTGGTCCCTGCAGGAGGGCTGTCTTGGTTTTGCTGTCCCACGTGACTGTCATTGGCAGGTGCTAGTGGCTGGTGTGCTTAGTTGCTAACCAAATGGCTGGGGGTGGGGGAGTCAAGCCCACCAGAATCTTTCTCCTTCTGAAAATTGCTCCTTGGAAACTCTGTGGGGTGCAATTCCACTCAGACCCCCGTGGGGCATCATGACTCAGAACTGGCTGGACAACAACGGCTGATGGATATCGTAGCAAGGTCACGATGTGTCGGCATCGACCCCATGGCAATGAGTTGGCTGTTTGGGGGGGTGTCCCTACTGAGCAGGAGAAAATAACCCACTGAGGAAGCAAAATGAACAACCGGGGTAGAACGGGAGGAACTAAAAGCACGTCTCTCTCTCCTGAGTAGCTAGTACTTTTTGCCACACTGAATGCTGCCTCTCAACACGTAAACTCAAGTTTCAACTGAAAAAAAATGTTCCTAAATTTTATGCTAGCTGTTCCTGCACTTGGAGGCCACCTGAACGTGTGGAGGTTTATGTTCAGCCATCGGCACCTCGGGAAAGGCCAGAAGCCCTGCCTCGGAAACAGGAGCCCCTGAGAGAGACCCTGTGGGGCACGGTTCATTTCGCTCCGACACCCGCGGTCACCACAGGACGGACCGGGCCGGCTCAACAGCACTTGATTTGTTGGTTCCACCCTATAAGAAACTTAGAGGAGTTTTGTTTATTTTCCTCCAGTTTTATTTCTGCCTGCTCACACTTCTGCTCCTCTGCTGCCAGCCACCCCACCCCCCAACTGCCCTCCCGCTTTCCCACTCTGTGAATAAGCTCCCCTAAGTTCCTCGCGTAGGATCCAAAACCCCAAAGCCATTTTCTGGGATTGGAAAATCACTGCATTCCCGCCTTGGGTTGGAGACGACAGCACAGGCCCTCTGAGGCTGCGACCACGTGTGCAATCGTGTGATGGATTAAGAACACATCCCTTCAGCATGGACTTGCTTCCTCCACGCTCCGCAGGCTTTCCACCTCGGCTGTGAACCAGAAAACCAAGCCTGTTCTCGTCAAGTGGACTCTGGCTCACGGACCCAGATCAGCAGGTCATACACAGTGCCACTCAGTGTATTTGAACCACCAACCTTTAGCATAGTACCCAAACCCCACTGCCATCCAGTCAGTCAGGACTCTTGCATTAGCCTAGCAACACACAGTAGTGCTGCCCCATAGACTTTCCGAGGTTGTAAGTCTTAATGGAAGCATACTGCCTCATTTTCCTCCTGTGGAGTGGTTGGTGAGTTCGAACTGCAAACTTTTCAGTTTTTAGCCCAATGCTTAACCCATTACGCTGTTAGGGTCCCTTAGTTTAGTGGTAGAGCACAACCATTTGTAGCTACCAGGGTCTTAACCTATAGAAAGGGAATGATATTTGCGCCTATCTGATGGGGCTGCTGTGAAAATTCAAGTGCAATAAGAGATGGATTATAGGATCTTTGCACAGTGAGGGACGGGTATTTGCTAAATCAATACTTACTGCGATGAGATTGCAACTCAATGTAGAGAAAGCCCACATCCTCACAACAGGTAGCGTCATGATGAGTGGAGGAAAGGTTGAAGTGGCCAAGGATTTGCTCTTGCTTGGATCCACAGTCACTGCTCATGGAAGCAGCCGTCAAGAGACTGAAGCATGCATTGCATTTGGTAAACCCTGCACAAGACCGCTTTAGAATATTGAAGAGCAAGGCTGCTACTTTGAGGACTGAGGTGCACTGGATTCAAGCCGTGGTATTTTCAGTCGCCTCATATGCATGGACAGTTGGACACTGAATAAGGAAGACTGGAAAAGAATCGATCCCTTCGAAATCCCACGGTGGCGAAGAATATCAACAGTGGCAGGGAATATCAAAGACACACCAAGAAACAGCAAATCTGTCTTGGAAGAAGTACAGCCGGATGCTCCTTAGAGAAAAGATGGCGAGGCTTTGTCTCATGTACTTTGGACATGTTAGCAGAGACCAGTCCCTGGAGAAGGACATCGTGCGTGGTAAGGTGGAAGGGCAGCGAAGGAGAGGCCCCTGACGAGGCGGATGGACACAGCGCCTGCGACCATGGGCTCCCGTGTCAGCACAGGGGTGAGGACCGTCCGGCACTGGTGCTGCTTCCTGCTGTGTGCGCAGGTCGCCATGAGACGCATCCCGCAACCGCTACCACAGCAATGGCAGTGGAGCCAGAGTCCTGGTGGCACAGGGGGTGAGGCACTGCATCGCCAACGGAAAGGTCAGCAGTTCAAACCCTCGATGAGGTTGTCTGCTTCTGCCCCCAGAGCGCTTGGCAGTCTCAGAGACCCTGGAGGGCCCTTGTGCTCTGTCCTCCAGGGCCCGGCTGGGTCAGATGGGACCCGATGGCAGCGGGTTCGGTTTGGGTGGTGTACTGTCTCTAGTGAGTCCAGAGTCCTGATTTCTGATTTCTGAACACCAGTCTCCTTACCTGTCTCTGGGGGTTGGCAGTGAGTTTTCCTTGGTGGACTCCAGGGTCACCATCCGGAAACTGGGGGAAATGGTGGAGAAATGAGCACCCCTCCCCCTGGTACCACACCATCCCTCCAGTCTCGGCTGACGGCCTGGGAAGCCCAGGCCCTTGTCAATGTTCTGTCCATCAAGCTGAGTCCCAGGACAAAGCAGGCCTGCCCCTGGAGGGGGCGTCTGAGGCTGTAGTCTTTCTAGAAACTGACTCCCGCATCTTTCGGCCGCAGCATGCCTGGTTCAGACCTCCCACCGTTCCTTAGCAGTTCAGTTCTTCACCAGAGTGGTCCAGACTCAGGGTGCGTCCCTCTCGCCCCACCCTTCTCACCCCTCTGAGGTTCCATCAGCTGTGCTAGTGCAGTCCCCTGGGTAGGAGCCTCGGCCCCTTCTCCCCAGGAAGTCTCAACCACTGGGAGAAGGGATCTCTAGTTGGCGCTTTAAGCGTGACTTGTGGACGTGCACTGGGTCTCCAGCACTCACCTCCGCCCATTGTGGACACGTACTGGGTTTCCGGCGCTCACCTCTGCCCAGGGCTTCGTTCATCCTCGAAGTAAGGGAGTGGTCACTACGTGCCCCAGTTCAGCGAGGAGAAAACCAAGCCTGAGAGAGAGGACATAGCTTTCACAAGGTGTGACAAGGGAGCAGGCGGGGTTTCCTTCGGCTATACACAGGGCTCAGTGAGAGTAGGACCGGATACAGTGGACCCCAACAGCCACACAGCTGGTCGCGGTGGCACCAGAGTGCTAAGCATCCACATTCGTGTCCCCAGCGCACTGTGACCAGCCGCCTCTGGAGAACATCTGAAGTCATCAAGGACATCGATACGGAATTGTGCACCCCCCTCTCCAGAAATAGAATTCCCTGGAAGCCATGTCCCTGAGGCTGGGACATTGTGATGATTGGGTTGTTCAGGGTTCTGTAAGGGCAGGGTTGCGGTGGGGGACCCGAGGGAACGGGAGCCACCCCCTCCCCCCCAACTCCTCTTCATGCCGTTCCTCTGTGCCTTTCTGCAGGTGTGGGTAGATGCTGGCACCCAGATCTTTTTCTCCTATGCCATCTGCCTGGGCTGCCTGACTGCCCTGGGGAGTTACAACAACTACAATAACAACTGCTACAGGTGAGCATCCCGGCGACCCCCCTCAGCCTGCCTCCCTGGGGGGATGGCTTCGGCTCCACGGGGGCGGGGGTCCTCCCTGCCTGGGTCAGCACGTGGGCCACCCTGAAAGACGCAGACGTGTCTTCTGCTTCATGCAATGGGCGGGGACATGGAGCAGGAGGGACACGGCGTGATGACGGTCACACAGCTAAAGAAGGCAAAGCCCAGGCCTCCGGATGCCCAGACCCTTGTTCTTCTGCCCTCTGCCCAGAACCTGGCGCCTTGCCCTGTCTTGCCTTCAGCCTAACTTAGACATGGCAGCCTCCTGTAGCTCAGGTTTCCATGGCTGTGGTGTCTGCAGCAGCAGCATGCCAGGCCTTTCTTAGGAGGCACTGCTGGGTGGGATTGAACTATTTGGCTAGGAGAGGAGCTCGAGTTCCTTGCACCACCCAGGGGAACCTTAGATTTGCATACCTTGGTCCATAGATCCCTCAGAGTAAGCATCAGATGGATGGAAATTTAAGTATTTGACACAAAACTAGAACACTCTTTAGGACACATCTGGGAATGGGCTGCGTTTATTAGGAGGCTGTATCTGAGTGGGGCGCGCTCTCAGCCAGTCCCCGCTGAGACTTAAGACAGTGGTTCTCAACCTTCCTAATGCCGCGACCCTTTACTACAGTTCCTCCTGTTGTAGTGACCCCCCAACCATAAAATTGCTTTCCTTGGTACTTCACCACTGTCATTTTGCTACTGTTATGAATCGGGCGACCCCTGTGAAAGGGTCATTCAACCCCCCCAAAGGGGTCTCGACCCACAGGTTGAGAACCGTTGACTGAAGCAGAGCAGCTTAAGCAAGCAGAGATGAGCCAAGACAGATGCCAAGACACGCAGGAAAGCCGAGATACCTTCCCCAGAGAGAAGTCCTTCCTCGCGCTCTGTGCTCCCTCGTGCGCGTGTGCTGTGTGTCCACTGAGTCCGAGACCAGACAGGAAAGGCTTAGCTGCGGCGGTGGTACCGCCTGCAACCTGGGGAAGCAGAGGCAGAGAGGACGGGGGCGGGAGTTCGAGAAAGGCTAGGATGCAAATGTGCTGCTAGGTGGCAGTTTCTGTTGCCCCTGGTTTACCTGGGGCAGAGAGGGAAACGGGTAGTTGGCCAGAGGGGTGCTGGAGGGGTGAAAGGTGAGACCATGCTCCCTGCGGCGATGACCCTTCTTACCATCATGGTTCCATAGGTGAAGCCGGGGCTGGGGCTGGGGACAGTGATGGCCAGGAAGAACCATGCACCCAAAAGGGACTTTGGGTCCGGCCGGGTGGGGCCCACTGGGGCTGTGGAGGAGGGATGCTGTCCACACTTGCTTCTGACCTCATTGGAGAAGGCGAGCAGCTGGGCCTTTTCCCCAGGCACTGCAGCCATCACTAGGCCACTGTCCACTGTTCCAGCAAGGCAGAGGGAAGGGCTGCAGGGTTTCTTGTTGACTACGTGCCCTGGTGCTTAGCGGACTGCCCGCTTACCTCACCACTGCACGAGGAGGGATGGGGGTTGGGGTAGGCCCTCGCACATGCCCACATCACACTACAAGGGTAGAGTGGGGCTTGAACCTCTGCCTCCTGTCTCCTGCATCCCTGTTCCTCACAACCAGGAGTGGCTGTCTCTTTCCCAGGCACTGGCCGCCTGCGGGCTTGCCTGGCTGTCGTCTCGACAGCACAGCAGCTGGCCTGTCCCCAGTACCCCACACAGTTCCATGTCGGCCACCTCAGCCCCTCCTGCTTCCCCTTCTGATGGGACAGGACAGGCAGGGCGCTTCCTGCCCCCCTCCCCCCACAGAAGAAAACCCAGCCCCAGGTAACACTGCCCAAGGAGAAGGCTCATTTTCTTTCTTCCAAATTCTCCTGCCAGCATGCCTGGCGGTGGAGTAAATTGGTACCCTCTCTTCTGACAGCATAATCACTTCTGGAAGTCAGCCGGCCCAGCTCTGCGCCTGCTGGCTTCAAAGCCCCGCTTACATAAGCCTTTCACCTAGACAGGCCTGTCAGGGAGGGGTGTGTGCTGGAGTGGAGCCATCCGGACAGGGGGCACCCAACTCTGGCGACTTGAAGGTGTGGGTGCCGTGGGGAAGGGTGTCCTGCCGTGCTCTAGGCTGGACCTTCTGACGCATGAGAGAACTGGCACCTTGAGGAGGAGAAGAAAGGGGGCAGGGGACTAACCAAGACCTACAGCAGTGGGCATCCGGGCTGCATGCCACGTTGGGCAGTGTCGGCACTGGGCAGTAAGAGCTGTCCAGCCAGCGGAGGCAGCAATGGCTCAGGCACAGGAGCGGCGGTGAGGGTGTCTCGGGATCCTGAAGCGCTTCCTTCTGCTGTGCACGGGCCTCTGTGGGTCAGAGCCAACTCAATGGAGCTGAGCAACTACAGCAGCCAGGGGAAGGCCCTGTGGGGTGAGGTGAGGGGTGGCAGCCACCACCAGGGGTGCTGCTGCTGCTGCTGCCAGGGCTCCTCATCCCGTCCCACAGGAGGCTGAATCAGGGTGCCTGTCGGCACGCCCCCCTTAAGGTGGGGCACTAGCCCGTGTTCTAGCTGAACCCAAGTCCTTGGGCTCCATCCTGGTCATTCAGGGGTAGAATTCTCACCTTCCACGAGAGACTCTGGTTTGACTCTGACCAGTGCACCTGCCTTGTCCCCGTCAGCTGTCTGTCCATGGAGGCTTGTGTGTCGCTAGAATGTGGATTGGCAAGCAGAGGAGCTTCCAGACGAAGGGGGCCTAGGAAGGGAGACCTGGAAACCCAGTGGACCCTGTGGTCTGGTCAGCAGTCTGTATCATTGTGAGGTTAGAGCAGAGGCAGGGACCCCCGGCACTGAGGGCTGCACAGGCTGGTCTCAGACAGCAGGTGTGCAGGGGGAGGACCCGCACTAAGGGTGTGCCCTTCATCTTGCCCAAACCCCCTTGTCTGTCCTGAGTGTTCCTGGGTCTGGGCCAGCTTCCTCTGCTGGTGAGCCCTTCCGGAGAGCCAGGGACACACACCACCAATCAGCCCTGTGCGCCCTCGGGCCCTTGATGGGCCCCTCCCCATAAAGAGGCGGAGGCAAAGGCAGAGGTAGAGGTGGAGGGGAGCAGGAGGCATTTAGCCCCAGGGCTGCTGGGAGCTCTGGCGTGACTTTGTCTCCCAGTGCCACTCAACAAAAAACGACCTCACACGTGCGTGCGTTTAAAGAAGGAGAACTTACCTGGCCATGCTTTGCGGGGCTGGGAACCTAAAGTGGGCAGCCAGCTCCAAGAGAGGGCCATCTCCCGTGGGTGTCGTCCTTCTTGTTCCCTGGGTGCCCGAGGGTCTTCACAGGTGCCTGTCTTCCCATGTTTGTCTGTGTGTTTATGCTGGTCCTCTGGTAGCTCAGAGGGTCAGGGTTAGGACCCAGCCTATGCCAGCATGGTCTCATTCACATAACCAAAAATTGTTTCCAAATAGGATCTTCTTCACAGGCAGGGGGCTAAGGTTTCCGTCTCCTGGGGGGCGGAGGTAAGGGGGTCACCATTTGGCCCGTCACAAGGCGTGGCGTCCCCAGGTCCTCCGGGTTGGGACACAACTGTTTCTTACAGGGAAGCACCCCCTGCCCCCAGGAGCTCACCCTCTCTTGTTTGCTCTGCCTTTCTCTCCGGCCAGGGGTCAGGGGAGTGCTGGTTTGCCTGTTCGTCCCCATCCCGCACCCCACCTCCTGGTGCTTTTGGTCTGTGTGACCAAAGGTATCTTTTAGAACAGCAGGCGCTGTGTGGCTGCAGGCCAGCCGCCTGGCCTCTGGGCGGTAGCCATGCAGGAGGCTGCGCTGCTGGGCTGGGCGTGGTGGGCAGTGTGCAGGCTGCCCTGCCCTGACCCAGGTCGCTGGCCCTGCGTTCCCCACAGGGACTGCATCATGCTGTGCTGCCTGAACAGCGGCACCAGCTTCGTGGCCGGCTTTGCCATCTTCTCCGTGCTGGGCTTCATGGCGTACGAGCAGGGCGTGCCCATCGCTGAGGTGGCCGAGTCAGGTAAGTCTGTGCGGACGGATAGATGGACAGACTGGCTCTGGGAGTGGCTCCCCGCCATCCACTCACTAACCAGGCTCTTGGGAGGGAAACAAACCTTGACACTTTCCTGCTCTTGAAGGCCCTGCAGCCCCAATCCTGCAGGTTGTCTCCCCGATGGCCCCACTGCCCCTGGGCTCCCCCATCTCCCTCAGTCCAGACATCCCTCCCTCCGTGGGTGACTGTGGATCCTTCCACCCACAGCTCTGCCCCGGCTGCTCCTCCATCCGCTTCCCTCCCCTGCAGAGTGATTTATCAAACAGATCTGAAAGCCCCGCCACATCCTGCTGCAAACCCCCCTGCTCTGCCACCTCCCCAGCCTCCTGCAGGCCTGGTCCCCACACTCACTCTGCCCCTCTCACTCTCATCACACAATTCCCCCCTCTCCCTGACCTAGATGCCCCACGCATGCCATGGGCAGCCTTGCTGGTGGAGGGGTGGGGGTAGATGGAGAACTCTTCCAATGCTGTGACAGATGAATGCTGGGAAAGTTCAGCATACGTTAAAAAGTTGTTTGTTTGATTTTTGAAAGCACCTTTAGGTTTTTGTGTTAAGCAGAGTTATGTTCTAGGCTCAGAGCATCATCAAGGAGCTTTTCGTCTCCAAAAATGTCCCGTGGGAGGGTTTGTTAAGGACACTGTGGGCAGGGAGTCATGCCCTCCTGGTCTCCCCTACCACTGGGTGCCAGTGGAGTCTCCCACTCATGTGACAGCCTCACACGCCCCTGGGGCTACTCCCTACCACCCCAGCCCTGAGAATCCTAGCCTGGGGTGCTCAAAGAAAAGGGGGTGCCTCTCACCAAGCAGATTGGGCAGTGGGTGTGGCTGTCATTCCAAAAAAATCCAGACTCACAGCCATCAAGACAATGGCTACAGAAGAGGGCGGAACTGTCCCTGTGAGTTTCTGAGACTGTCACTCTACAGCAGTAGAGAGCCTCATCCTTCTCCCACGGGGCAGCTGGTGGTTTCGAACCACTGGCCTGGAGGTTAGCAGCCCAAGGTGTAACCACTGCACCACCAGGGCTCCCCTTGTGTACAGTCATCCCTGAGAAAGGCGGGAGCCTGGCACAGGGCCAGAGAGTGCTAATCTGGTCAGCACTCCCCGTCACCGAATGCCTGGCCACCTGAGCGGGGCTTGGTGCACACAGCCAATCCTCAGGTGGCGCCTTGGCTAAACCCATTTACACCTGAGACAACCCAGCCTCAGAGAGGAGAGTTTGAGTTCATCTGCCTATGGACTCTTTGCATCTCATCTACTTAAAGGTGCGACTGTAGCCTACAGTGTCGTTGGAGGCAGAGAAATCAGGGCAGTAATCAAGGTGGGGAATGTCAGCAGCGAGGTGGGCGTGCAAAGGGCGACAGTGCTGTGGTTGTGGTTGTTAGGAGTCGGTTGTGACCACAGCCACCCCGTGCACAGCAGAAGGAACTACTGCCGCTCCTGGGCCGTCCCCATGGGTGCTGCTGTGCTGGGGCTCCTGCTCCCATGGTGAACCCTAAATAGACTTGGATAAGTTACAGGTGCATGATCGCTGGCTCAAGAGCAGTTGATTAGAAAGTAATAAAAATATATAAAGCTGAAAGCCCGATAGGTGAAAGAAATGGGATATTAACAATATCCATTAGCCGACAAAAAGTCAGGCGAGAAGATAAAAGTAAGGCAAATACCAAGCGGGTAGCTTAAGCCCGGCCGGATCCTCACCTAATTGATACATGTGGGCCAAACTGTTCAGTTAAATGGCAACGTTTAACCAGACATCCGTTGAAGAATGGACACCAATCCTGTTTCAACTCTTCCAAGAGACAGAAAGGAAAAGAATTCTCCCCAATAATTCTGTGGGCAAACACACGCCAGGTAGCAGAAACAGGCAGCTACCACATGCACCCTGCGTCTTCTCTGGTGAATGGTGTCGTTAGGTGCTGACTCGCCATGATCCGGTATTTGGCACAACGGAGCGAAACGCTGCCTGGTCCTGCGTCCTCCTCGCGTTTGTTCCTGTGCTGGACAATGTCCTGCTCCCATTCAGGAGTCTTCAGCATCTGGCCGTGCTCCCAAGCTGTGCTCAAGGTTTCCAGGGGCCCCTTCCTCCAAGGTGGAGAGCCACCTCCTTCTTCCACGTCCGCTCGTAGTCTGGAGGCTCTGCGAAGCCTGCTTACTCTGGGTGACCCTGCTGGCACTTGAAATGCCCGTGGCATTGCTGCCAGCATCGCAGCCACACACAGCCACCGCAGTGTGAGAACCTGAGAGATAACTGGTGGATCTCTTCTAGACATAGATGCAAAGGCCTGCCACCCTACACTAGAGAGCCATCCACCCTGACCAAGTGGGACGGAGGCCCAGGATGTCACGAGGGTTCGGCACAAAAAATGAAAGTTCATCTACATGACGTGGTAGAATGATCATGGGAGAGAAGAACAGCGTGATCGCCTCTGTGGGTACATCTGAGGTCTGAATAAAAGGTAAATCCCTCAAGGATTTGGGGCAGCTGTGAGAAGCCAGCAGCCGGCCGGCCTGTGCTTAGAGGAGAAAGACTGAGAGTTGCCCCTTGAAAACAAGACCGAGCCACGGTGCCACTTCCACGTTGCAGGAGAAGAGCGAGCCACGGTGCCGCTCCCACGTTGCAAGAGAAAACCTCGATGCAACAAGAAAAAGAAATAGCAGAGCTCCAATGGGAAACTTAGAAGTGAAGTTCTTTGCCTTCATGGATGCTGGGATCCCATGAAATGAAAAATCTCAAAGGCCACGGGAGGATGGCTGGGCCTGGTTGAAGGAATCTAGCACCGTTGCGGAGCCTTGTGTGTTTCTCCACACACGTGAGGAGACACCGGAAAGGGTAATGAGGGAGACAAGTCCCAGCATCCGAGAGGAGCAGAATACCTAGGAATGAATCTACCCAGCGATGCGAAGGGTTTCGGTTCGAAACGATAAAGACTGCGGAAAGAGCTTGAAGAAGGCCTTACAAATGGAAAGGTGTGCCGTGTTCATGGACCGGAAGGACTAATATTGTTAAGATGCCGATGCTATCCAAAAGCAATCCAGAGATTCTCCAATGCGGATCAACATGCCGATGGAAAATTTCTTTACAGAAATAGAAAACCCAACCCTCAATTCTATATGGAATGACACACACAAAAAGCAGCGTTAAAAGGGAAGAACAGAGCGGGATGACACACAGGTCCTGACTTTAAAACAGACGACACAGCAGCAGTCCCGGTGTCAATGCAGCTCCCGATCCCAAGGCCTGCAGTTCAAGGCCACCGGCTGTTCCACAGGAGAAAGGCGTGGCTATCCACTCTTGTAAAGATGGATACCTGGTCTCTACAGCCCAAAGGAGCAGTCCACTGTGCCCCGCAGGGTTGCTATGAACCAGAAGTGCCTAGGTCGCAGTGGTACCCAGCTATAGCCACCAAAAAAGCCTAGGTATGACCTAGAACCATGGTGTATAACTGAGAGCCCAAAGGAAACCCACACATCTGTGGGCAACTGATCTTGAGTAAAGTGCTAAGTCCTGTTGGTGGACAAAGAAGAGCCACGCACAGAAGAATGATGCAGGATCTGTGCCTCACACCATACAGAGCAATGCATTCAACGTGGGCTCGGAGCCTAAGTATACAAGGCAAAACTATCAAGTTCTTAGAAAACCCAGCAGGGCAGCCTGGGTGGGCCTCACGTCTGAGAATGGATAATCTAACATGAGAAGCACAGACAGCAGAGGGAAAGAACGGGAAGGAGCCTCATACGCATGAAAACTCCTGCTCGCCAAAACACTTTCCAAGAAAAGTGTGACAAGACGTTCAGTGTTGTTAGCCATTGGGGGGGTTGAACCTCAAGACCACAATGAGGGACCACTGCACTCACACCAGGGTGGTTAGGATTTATACAGAAATAAAGAAAATAATGCTCCTGTGCTGGTGAGGGTGTGGGAAAGATGGAACCCTCATCCTTAGCCCATGGGAATGCAAACATAGATGATCCTTGTGGAAGGGGTGTGAGGATCCCTCGGCAAGCGCGCGCGTATACACACACACACACACACACACACTCACATAGTCTCAAAGTCAGTGTCTGTCTTAATGAGAAAATACCAAAAGCATTCTAGCAAGATGAGGAACGAGGTCAAGATGCCCACTACTCCTCTATGGTCAACATTCTGCTCGACGGATTAACCAGTGCAAAGGGGAGTCTATTGGCAGCATAGGAAGGGCTAAAGAAAAACCAACGTTACCTATTGTCGCAAATCATGGTCTACCGGCAAAACAAACACCCCCAGAGATGGTGGTAAGCCCGCCCCACACAAGAGAGAGCTGGGAAAAGGGTCTGCCGCTGCTGTTGGATGCTGTCTGTCGAGTCAAACGGGCCCGACCTGCATGCACCAGGATGAAACCTGGCCTCAGCCCGTGCCTCCCTTACCATCAGTGCCAGGCTCGTGCCCAGGCCAACCCATTGTGTTGAGGATCTTCCTTCTTTTCACGGGCTCTCTGCCAAGCATGCTGTCCTTCCCCATGGACTGGCCCCTCCTGAAAACGTGTCCAAAACGTATGACAAGCGCTGGCCGTTCTTGCTTTCAAAGAGCCTCCTGGCGGCCCTTCCTCCATGCTAGGTTTGTTCTTTCTCCTGGAGCCTGTGGTGCAGTCAACCTTCTTCCCCAACAGCGAAATGCAAGGGCGTCAGCTCTTCTCTGGTCTTCCCTGTCCCTTGTCCGGCTTTTCCACACACACGAGGTGAAGAAGGCCCATGGAGAAGGCCCTGAGGTCAGGCACCTCTTGGGCCTCAAAGTGATAGCTTCGCTTTTTGGAAACATTTGTAAGAGATCTTATGCAGCCGCTGGCTTCCCACAATGTGTCACTTGATTTCTGTGATGGCTGCTTCCGTGGACGTTGATGGGGGATCAAGTGCAACCCGTGACAATGTCACTCTTTCCTCCGTTTATCGGATGTTGTCTACCGGCCCACTTGGGAGGATTTTTG